CTTCTGATCTCTCAAATGCTCCTTTATCTTTGAACTGGTCATACTAACAGTTGCCTAACCTGGTGTGGAAGGTGAAGAGAAGCAAAAGCTTCTCTTTGTTACAGGCTGCTGGCAGAGCTACTGCACAAAGTAGAATAAGATATGAAGGACTGATATAACCTCCTCGCTTGTGGCTTTGAGCCTTTTGGTTCTCTAGTGTTAGAAGATAAGAAATCTCTAAAATTATTCTTGGATCTTAAGCTGTTTCTAGTCTCCCTGTTGATTTTTTTTTTCTTTGCTGCCTTCGCAGCTGGTTGCATAAATGCTATTTTCTCCTTTTAATGGGAGCAGAAATGAGTTTTGGTTCATATTATAAAATTTATTCAGGGCTCAAGATCTTGTCAGTTGTAGCTTAAAAGTAGCCAGTAGGCCCAAATAAGGGGCCTGAAAGGAGGGGACCAGTTCTAAACAAGTTCAGTAAAAACTTATTTTGATTTTTCTTATACTTCAGCTTCCAAATCTAGATCACTTATTTTACCAGGTTAACAGTACACCCAGGTACCTGGTGCAAAGATCTTGCAGAATCCTGTTAACTGGTCTCACGTAATGTGGCTAGGTTGAGCCATTGCTAGTGCAGTAGTGACTAAACCATTGGTTAGGTCATTGTCCATTGTTTCTCTGCAAAACAATGAATTTATTTCATAAAGAACAAAAAGTTAAAATTTAATTATATGCAGGATGCATTTTTTAGTATATTTCCAGATATTTGTATGCTCAGAAAGTTGAAAAGTGAACATAAATCCTTTTAAAAAGGGTTCTTTTGTTTGACTTTTTTGTTGGCTTTTTTTTTTATTTTTTTTCCACTACAAGTCTAAAATAGAGAAATTGGAAATATAGTGAGAAATTGTAAAGAACTTTGTGAATTATTTTCAGGATGTGTATTAAGTTATTTAAGGAACAAATTGAAAAATTAATGGTGCATCAAAGTTCTGAGTAATACCCTGCAGTATTTCACATGGAATGATTTTGAGATGTATGAGTTTGATTACCATTTCGATCAACTGCACACAAGATTCAAAAATGACCATTAAGCCTGTAGTCTAAACAACAAAATAGTAAATACCTGTCTTATGTCTTTTCAAAACTTTAGCTTTGTACGTCCTTACCAATTAGTTTTGAGCACTGTATGTATAATCTCTTTTCTTTTAGAGTGCTCATACTTCATTTTCATTGCTAACACTTCTCTGCTTTTTTTCTCTTTATTGCAGAGATGCTAACAGGAGAAAAACACAACAAACAAAACATAAACAGTTTTTGAAATGATTCTATGTTTAGACTTGAGCTGTGTTATGTTACTTGTGTTATTTCAAAATGTAGGTGATTTTGGCTGTAGATTTTCTTTCTGAATGACAATCTTTGACTGTCAGCAGTTTTGTATAGTAAATTCACCAGTATTTATGAATTAAAGTTTAGTTTCCGTACAAGTAATTACCTGGTATTTCAATTTCCACAAGATTTCTGGGGTGAAGGCCAGGAATGTCTTTTTAATAAATATTTGTAAAATATTTGGACATCTTTTTTAACGTGATATGTGATAGAAGAATTCTCCCTTTCCTCCCTGGCTTGTCTTAAATGCAATTTTTAAGTTTAACCTCCAGGTCTAACACCTTTTATTTGCAGAGGATCAAATTGAACCGATCTGTCAAAAAAAAAATCTCCCAAACCATTTCTATCATTCACTTGTTGAATCAGTAGGCTTGTGATGGGAGGGGAGATGATTCTATCAACAGAAATAGATCTAAAGAAGTCAGAAAAGATTTGTCTGTCATATCGAAGGTGAAGGGCTTTCTTTTTTGATTGTCTGATCTCTTTCCAGTCGTGATCTGCTTACAGATATGCCCTTTCTCTGTGATTATGAGAGTCCTGGGCATGTGACTGTCCAGAAGTGAGTGGTCAAGAGAAAAGCTGTTTGATACAGCCTCCTGAGATTTCCAAAAGAAATAAAGTAAATCTCTTTTTTTCCAACGGTTCTGATAGAAACCAAATGAAGGATGTGTGTCCTCTTGTAAACAATTCACTAGTGAGAAGATGAGAAACAAAGATTCTATTTTTGTAGTAAGTGGAGTTCACCAGGAGAGCCCTGCAGGAGTTTGGGCTGGGCCTTGTGCTGTCTTAACATCTGAAAGGCAATGGGCGAAGCGTGGCGAAGCTTGCTCTCATGTTGTTAAGCTCTTTAAGAGCCAACCGAGAAGGGCTGCACAGGGACCTTTCAAGACGATGTATCAAGAGGAAAGATACTTTAAGCTTGATAGAGAGTTGGTAGGCTCTGGGGTGACGTTTTCTTGCAAAGATGAGTTCTTAACATTTTTTAGAAATCTACTTTGATAATTCTCCGTAGGAAATTAAGAAAGTATTGAGTGTCAAACCAGATTTCAGACATTACATGAAGTTTTAATTTCATTATTCCTAAACTTCATATAACTACATGTAAAAATCCATGCATATCCCCCACCATCAGTGAGTACAATTTTATCTCTTACATCAGAAGAAAGTTAGAATACAAATGGAAGAAGAACAAGGAGGGATGGTAAAAGTGGTCAGACACTCAAACCTGGGGAGGAAAATGAGGGAGTATATGATCCAGGTCTATGTGGTCATCAGCAGTATGTGGAAAAGTCAGAGAGCAGAATGACAAGAAATTAATTGCTCCAAGAACTGGATAATTATCAGAAGGTGGGTTCAAGTCAAACACGATGCCCATTTAAGCTGTGAAATGCAACAGGACAGGACACGGGATGCTTAGAAGCTTATGGTTTCAAGAATCTGAACAAACTTGCAAACTATCTGCTTGAGAACAAGTAAATGTAAAGGCATCATCTCTGACTTAAGAGGTCCTTGAGTCAACTTCCTTAAATATCTGCTCTCAACTGATGAATCGTAAGACAGATGGATTCAGAGTCTACTTTCATAGTTTGCCAGTCTTTATCCTGATGGCCTAAAAAAAAAAAAGGCAAAATGCTTCACGACAAGCTAGAGATCACTTTTTGACTGGTGTGTTGATCGTTCTTTGGAAGTTTGATTACCTTTTGATTGACCTTCTTTTAGGATGTAGGTAGATAGATTTAATTGCTGTACTTGCTGTGGTGCCTGTCTGATCTTGTGGTGAGCTGCCTTCCCACTGCCAGTAAATTTTTTTCTGGATCATCAAACTGGGAATGAAGTTGCCAGATTTTTCATGTTTCCAGCTGAAGAGGATAGGCTTGCTGAAACTTTGCATGCTCCATGATCAGAGTTTTTCTGGTTGTACATTCGCAAAACTAAAGTTTTCCTTTGTTTTTTTTTGTCAGCATATAGTTGAGGATAATTGTAGTGACTGGCTGGTTTTAGTGTTTTGACTGCTGGAGGATCATTTTTATTATTAGGACCTCATTTAGTGTAGATCCTTAATTGTTTGCTTCTATAATTTAGATGTACACTTACAGAACTAGAAAACTTGGCTGTGCAAGAGTGTGACAAGATGGTGTGTTTGCTTGAATGACAACTTGCCAAATATATAAAACATATTTGAGATTTTTTTTTTTTTAGTTTCCTGTTGTTGACTTTCATAAATAGCTTCTAGTAGATGTTTTAGCAACATAGATCAATAAATAACGTTTGGACAATTATGTCTCTTAAGAGTGAGGGATTATCAGCCTGCATTCTTTTTCTGTTTGTCCTTGAATATTTTACCATTGATAGTCTGAGGACAGCGCTCAACGTATCTGTCTTGGGAGCCTAGAAATTGCATGTTGAAGGTTGATTAAGTTGCTGCAATATGCACTTCACAAATTAAGGTGGTTTTTTTTTAACCACCTTGCAGTTAATTATTTATTCCTCAATACTTAGTCTTCACCATTTTTTTCCCTGTATGCTCAGTGTGTCTTATAATTACAACTTGGCAATAACATGTTGCTTCTGGAATTTTGCCTTCAGTAACTGTTTTGATTTTGTGCATACAGTTGTAATGATGGCTTAGTGTTCTCGTATTTCTTCCTACTCTGGACTTGTTTGGAAATAGAGGTTACTAAAGTAGCTGCAGAGACTTCACATTCAAGCAATTGCCTCAAATAGTTAGCTTTGTGGTGTTCATGTTTAACCACTTCCAGTAGACAAAATGATGTATTAGGTTTTGCTCAAGGCAGACAGTTGTCTTAAAGTTATTGCTGTCAGACATCAGAAGAGATTGCTTACACTGAAGTTACCAGTATTTTGGAAGCCTGTTTCAATTTCATCTTTTGAAACTCTCCTACCTATTTTAAGCACATACACATTAAACTGACATACTGTATGCATTTAAGTGACGGGGCTGCCCGTAGTACCTTATGGTATGGTAGAGTTAGTCAGGCTGCCACTAAACTTTTTAGCCAGTTTCTGTTCCAAGTTTTTGGAGATTTCCCCCAAAGAAAGTGTCATGCGATGTTCCTGATCATTTAAGGGTTTTGCCTTGGTCTGGGTGTGAGGGGTATGGTCTAGGAGCCGTGTAGCCAGTAGGATTTACAAGCTGTAGCTAGTTCACCTGTAGCTGAGTGAGATGATGGGCAGGGCAGACTTGTGATCTGTGTGTATATGATCATGCCCTTATATTTATCTGTGACGTTTCTCAAAGTCTTATTGAGTATCTCACTTGGTCATGCTCTCTTTAAGATCCTCCAGTACAGACACAACTGTCACAGTTGGTATTTCATGTGGAAGGTCTCTGTTTTTATAAGAATAGTGCATAGTGAGTGTATTTCATGCTGAAATCCCAGGATTTTAAGGATGCTTTGAAACATACACCATTTCATTTACTTCAGAAAACACTTGTTAAACTGTTAATGCCATCGGACTTGCACAGCTAAAATTAGGCAAGCATGAAAAGACCAGTTGTTTCAAGCGATGTTCTGTGGGAATGGCTTGTATGTTGAGGAAATACCACTGATAATATGTGCTTTGTTTCAGTTGTTTGTATGCCTAAACTGAGTGCTTATCTTGTGTTCTTTTAGCAGCACAATGGGATGAAATTTTCCATGAAAGGAACTCATAACCAAGGCAACAGCTACAGCCCTGTCAGCGGTGGAGGCATGAGGCAACCGGTTGGTAACCGAGGACACCATCAGTACAATCGTAATATATGGAGAAGAAAAAAACACAGAGACAGCTTGCCTATTAGTCTGAGCAGATAATGGTAGATGCCAAAAATGACCTTCCCTGTTCAGACAAACTGAGTGAGTGCCACTCGACTTGTGGGATGGAGACCAGCGTCCAGCACATCGTTTTATTGGTGTTGCCAAATATCTGCAGCTGACTTCTTTGCATGTTTCTTTGTGTGGTGGTCCAGTCCATCTTCAAGAAGTAGTTGTGCTTATCTGTGAAGCCTTATTAAATGTGGAAGTTTGTTTTCTGCCTTCCCACAACGGTTCATACAGTGCCGAAGCAGCTCTGACAGTAGAACTGCAAGGACATTTACAAATGCTGTGGCTTTTTTGCTGTGGCTACATCTGTTCCTTTGTGGGTTCTGTTTTCTTTTATTTTGGAAGTGAAGAAGACTTCAGCCCCTTGGAATTATTATTTTTTTTTCTTTGCAGCAAAGCAAGTTGGGAGTTCATAAAAGTAAATTTGCTGCTCTCCTCTTTTTGTTTCAAAGTTCTGAATTTTTTGCTCTGTAAATATTGGAAGTATAATTTGTGCAATAACTTGGAATTTTTAATTTAATTTCATATTGTCACATAAGTTATATTTAAGGGGAAGAGGTTTTTTAATTTACAGATCCTTTCCCAGGTTGCATTATCTAAGTTGGGTTCATAGTTTTGGCAGGTTGTCTGAGCAGTGTTACAAACATGACATATGGTAATATTTGAGGCTTCTTGATTCACAATGAAAGTGCGATTTGGCTTACGATTTTAAGAAGGTATTAAGCTCCAAAGCATTTTGACCCTGTGTTTTTTAGCTCATTGTCTGGCCTCTATCAGTTGTCTTGCTCTGACCAATGAGTTTTAATTTTATTCCTTTAACTAGACAACAAATCCAGCATTTGTAGTACCAGAAGTAAAACTTTTGAGATGGAGGGGGGAAAAAGGTTGGTTCAAGCCCTGATGTGAAATTAAAAAGCTGTGAACTACACACTTTGATGCATTTTAGTAAGGTAACCTGTTAACGTTTGCGTTCAAACAAATTATTAAACAGAGGTACCCGGCTTAAGGAATGTGGAGAAAGGAAATATGTTGATTCCATTAAGGAATCTGTATAGCAGTATGCATTAGTTCTGTTAAGAGCAAATATATAAAAAGTACTTCAGCTGCTCTAAGCATTACGAGAAGTATCTTTTAATGTATTGCAGGAGAGCACAGCCCAGTGTTGTACACAGAATGAGTGGCTGGCACTTAATTTACAGATGCATACAGGTATACTATGCAAGTGTGTATTGCCATGACAAACACTGTCTTTAACTTTTTGAAAAATGTACATCCTGCCTAACCCTGAGTTTTTAAAGCGCCACAGTTGTCCTGGGAGTAGGTCACATCTCATGCCCTCTGACTTCCTGTTTTTTTTAATGAGAGTTCTTGAGCTATACAGAAAACTACAGATCAGTTATATAAGTCCACGAGCAGAGAGAGCTGAAGAATCCTGTTAACAGGACATCTATACTGTGTACAGATACAGAAGGTTTTAAAACTGATATCTGAATATTAAAACGAGGTGTCAAGCATGAAGCTTTTTAATATGCTGTATGCCTTTGAAGCAGAAGTAGTTCATGTTATTACTGAATCTGTCAAACACAAACAGGTCCTTGAGGGGAGAGAGGGCAACATTCCAAAGTAGAGTAGTGCATATCTGTTTGCAAAAAGTTTGTCTTAATGATCCAGACTCATCACAACGTAAAGGAAAAAAAAAAAAGTTTTAAAAATTGTGAGCTGATTCATAAATAATATCTTAAGGGCTGTTACATGAGCCTGTACTGCTTAGTCTTCACACACTAGCAATATTGAGCATAAAACTACATTAAAGAGCCTTCAAAGGCTTTAGTTGGTGTCTTATACTGGCGTCCATTTTAAAGCAAAACTCATTTGAAAAGTGGTATCATGTAACACTTCAGTCATGGTGAACCAAATAAATTGGCCTGGCTATCACTGTGGTTATGTGCTACAGGTTTAAAAAAATCATGTTTAAATTTTTTGTGTGGACAACTATGTGGAAGCTAAAATTGACATATTTTTATGTAAAGTTTTCTATTCTTTGATTTTTAATAAACTTTGGAGACCAGTCACTCTTCTGTACATTTTTACGGGAAATTTAGTGGATGAAGGAATACCTGACCTCATCCCATTTCTTGATGTGTGCTTCGAACATCTGCTTTAAATTGTTCATGCTCAAGACCTTCAGAATGAGCTTGGAAGGTGGATGGATGCCCTCTGCAAATGTTTGTGGTGTTTGTGAAGAAAGTAACAACCATGGCAGTTGGTTTTGTAATTGTGGATTTGATTTCTTGATATTGAGAGAATGCAGGAGCTGGAGGTTGTTCCCAGCAATATTCCTAAATAGGGGAGACCGACTAACTGATTCCCTTGAGATACCTTAACTTTTTGTATGATTTTTTTCGGTCCCTCCACGTAGTTCTGAAATGCCTTTCAAAATCTTTGTCTGATTTTCAACCTCCTCAAAGATTGGATGTGTTTTTTGTTTATTTCTGTTAACCCTTTGAGATGACTTTGAAATGTTAATAACTGTCTCAAATTCAAAATTTTAGAAATTCAGTTTTTGAAGGAACTTGCGTAAATATGTGAATTCCAAGAAAGTGAACGGAAATATTTTCAGTAGTTACACAGGACTAAGGATTCAGAATTGGAGAGGTCTGTGGTACTTGGACAATCTTAGTGAGTGTTCACAGGAGGAAAAACAGACAACTGGTGGGAAGGGAAACACTCGTAAAGGAGGATAGTTTTGTTTTTTTTTTTGTTTTTTTTTTTTCTGTCAAGATCAGTTAGTTGGTGGGACATAGCTGACAGAAGGATATATGATCTCTGCAAACACCAAGATTTAGTGCAGTAGCATTAATCTTGGAGCTTCAGTTTCCCTGGGCTCCACCTTTTCCTTTCCAGATGATGACTTTGCTTTATTCTTCCCACAGATTCTGCCCAACTATGATTATCCTTGTTACCAGTCGTCTTCTAATGCATTGAGAGTCTCACTTCGTTCCTTTGAGCTCTTTGTTCCCTGATAATAATCTCCAATATCTACCTGATCTTTTTTCCCAGTCCTATTGACTATTTTGTACACTGTCCATAGGCAAAATCAGCCATGGACTTTAGATGTGGAAAAAAGAGACCTACAGAGTACATGTTGATAGAGCTCAGTTGCTGTTTGTTGCTGTTTCCAAGAGATGTCAGTGCTGCTGTTGCACTGAGCTTTCCCTGGAACTCCATTCTGCTGGACACTGAGGCAGAAGACCCTGAACGGTGACTGCTGGTCCAGCGGTGTTTCTTTCCACAGAAACAGCTGTGGGACAGCATCCTGAGAACAGGCATGGCAACAGGCTGCCAAAGAGCAGTGCTGAAATTCTGCGTACCTGCAAGCAGTGTGACCTCTTTATCCCATGTGGGCAAAAAGGTAAGTTTAAGCTGTGAATGCCAACAGGCAACACATACCTCTGGGTATATATTTGTGTGGGGGGGCGAAATGTTTCAACTTCTGACTTTCTGCTTGCTGGCTGCTGCCAGTATAGTCTGGTTATAAATTTAATAACACCTGGATTGAACCAAAGTTATGTCCTGAATTCTCCAAATAAGAGACATGACAGAGCCATTGAAAAGCTCACTGATTGTATCTTGTACTTCGCACATAGACTATCTTGAGTGGGGTTTGGAGTGTTCCGGAAAGCGGATGTGGTGCCACAAAGGATTTTGCAAGCGGCCTTAGAAAAAAAGGCAAGCCTGAAAAGAAAGGTCCTAGATAATTCTATGATTCTATGATATCAAGAAAATGGATGGAAGAAAACACCAGGGGCTGCCCCAGGACTTTGGCTGATACTGCCTTGGGCTAGTAGCTGTAATAGCATGAAGGGACGTGGGTTTCTGCCTGACTTTCGCATGCCAGCAGCAAGCCTTCCTGCTGGGAGAGGAGTTGAAGCTCTGACAAATGTAATGTTTTGGAGGAGTGAGCTGATGAGTGTGTGAATTAATCAGCTGGGATAAAAGCTCTAGTCTTGTTGGTTTGTAAATAAACCACAGTACCGATTGTGGTTTACTTTAATTCACCTGTAAGAGAAAATGGTCCAGCAGAATGACAATACTGACCATTTACTGAAGCTCAGGTTCACAGCTGGAGGAGTGCTGTGGCTGACCTTTCCCAAAATCTTCTCTAGATGGCTTTAGGCTTTCTTTTTAACCAGTATATTAACTTGTATTAGAACTGGTTTTGTTTACTTCCTTCCTACATTGCTTAAGTTTCAGTCCTAGAGGTGCATTGCCAATTTTGGATGATGTAAGTCCTTCATTTGTTCTTGGCAGTAGGAGATCACTTAAGGAAACCTATGGACAGCTTGTGTCTGCAAGAGGTCTATTGGGCAAAATGTGTTTAACTTTTTAACCAAGGATTCTTACTAGAAAATCAACCATATATTTCTGTTATAGTTGGTTAAAGTAACAGTCACAGGCTACAGGTATGTTTCAGTGAAAGGGTAAGGATACCTATTGTAGAACATCTGTACTTTAAACTTGCAAAATTGCCATAAAAAGCTCTGGTCACATTTCTTCTCAGTGTTACGTTATTGCAAAAGTTTTGGCACAGAACATTGCATACGGCACAGCAGCAGGCTTTCAGTTTCCTATCAATTGCAGATTCTCCAACAGTTTGCTTTATTAAAAAAAGCCTTTTTCATTGAGAGGTTATCACATGAACATGAAAAGAAATCAGGAATGGATGAATTTTTTTACTTCAGCAAATAGCCCATATGCATGCTCATACTGTTGATACACATGCCTCTGAGATCAAGGAAATTTTCTGCTGTGTTATTGCTAATGGCCTTTGTGCCACTGCCTCTCATACTAGGGTTGTGGGTGCAAAGGGGATCTCGTCCGACACCTTATACACTTGCTTTCCCCTTATACACTGATGGGACGTGGTTTTCTGTTGTGACCTCTTAGCTGTGCTGCAAGCTGTTTCCTGCTTCAATAACTTAGCGGAGTTGAACCACGGGTGGATTTACTGTCTTAAAAGCGGGTTCCAAATAAATCCTTCACTGACTTATTTTTAAACCTAAGACAAGCAAGATTTAGGAGCTCCTGTTACAGGATCTTCCGTGTGAAAGGATGAAAGTGGCATTTAAAATGAAAGTCCATAACCTCTGTGCTAGAATTACCCCTTTCTATCAGAGAAGACTTGGGCGCTGATCCCATTGGGTATATTCTGTTGAGAAAACCTTTGCAGAAAGATTCCTTGCTTATTGCTCCTCCTTTCCAGTAAGGAAAAGCTGAATCCTCTGGTGGGCTACATCCACCGCTTCAGGATTACTGTTGGATGCATCTGGCTAATTGGAAGAGCCAAGACAACTAGATGAAATCTCACTCTTGTCAGAAGTTACTTGTCCAGGTGATAACAGGCACTTAAGGTGCAGTAAGTACCACTTACTGTATAATCATGCATGAGATCACTAAATCATCCCTGTTGTCTCAGTGAAATTTCTTAGGAGACTGAGGAGCAGAGAGTAAGAATCTGTCAATCCTACATGTGTGTACAGTCTTCTATGGATGAGCAGAGCAGAGTTGCAGTTCTTAGCATCTGTTCTGCAAAGTCAACCCGGTAGATGTGTTTACCCCTCGGATTAAGACGAAATGCAGCCACTTGAGTCAAGAGCAGGTGCGTGCAACAGTTTCCTGATCTGGTCCTGATACAATGCTTGAACACTGAATGCAGATGCTCTAGAGTAGTTCTGGATTTTCCATTCTTTGAAATTTTAAAAACCTGCCTGGACAAGGCCCCAGGTAGCCCAAACTAACCAGAGTCAATCCTGCTGGACCAGGAGGTCGGGCCATATGATATCTGCAGAGCTGGTCTTAATCAAAATTTTTCTAAGATACCACAAAAAAAGAATAACTTTCTTCTATTTTCATTTTATTTTATCTACTTTATCTCTGTTTGGTTTATGAAATGTTTTAATGGGGACAGGAATTGTTCCCTCTCGCTGCTTTGTCCTGCACTTGATGAAATGCATCTTCAAAGATGAAGATGAGAACACACTTAATTCTGAAGTTAGTAATCTCTGGAAATGCGGAGTCCCCAAATACAGATTACTGATCAAGAAGTAAATCAGTAAATCTGCCCAACTAAAAAGCATTTTTGTTTTGTATCTTCTCTGTACTATTAACGTTAAATGTATGTTTTGTTTCTTCTGATTGCAGTGGTAACACAATGGTGATGTGCAGGATATCAGCAAAATACTCTAAAATGCTAAGTCCTTCACCTTTTTTTCCTGGTGATAGTTGTGTAGATTCATCATGGAAACCTTTTGATAATTAAAATCTGCTTGTTTGCATTTATTCTGCAGTACAGGAGTACGTAGGTTGGTTAAACTCATACTGCCTGAAAAGTAGTAAAAACAGCACTGATGGAGCTTAAAATGTCAGGAAAAAAGCTTTTTCAGAGGTAAGATTTGGAAGCTGCTACTAGCCCAACTTTTACCTAATAATTCCAAATTATACATGTATAGATCAGAGCTGTCCCTTACTTTGAATTGTAGAAGTTGGAGAGAGAAGAATATTTATCAAGAATGGGTATATAGAGAAGGAAATTTCCACAAAGAAAAAGGAAGCGAAACCGAAGTTCTTAATAATCTTAACTTGCAATATAAAATAACCATACCAGCATTCCAAGCCACAGATATCCTAGTAAGGACTTTAAAACAACCAGCAAATAACTCTAGTGCTAGTATGATGTATGGAGAAGAGCTCCAGGATCTCTAAGGTACTGGTATCCCTGAGAAATGGAAAAAATAAATATCTGGACAACTTGTATTAGTATTTCATCTTTGCTTCTGTGAGAAAGCACAATAGGGCTAATAAGAAATTGAGGGAAAATTTAAACACTACTTTATTAAATATTTTTAGTGCCTAATGCAGTGTTGCTGCCATTTAAAATAAATAAATAAAATAGTCTGGTAAAGCATATGACACAGTTCAGTGCTACATGGTGAGTGAGCCAGGGTGTTACCTTCTACTTAACAGGAATGGAATCAATAGATGGCGCTGAGTGCAAAGTTTTGGGCCAGGG